TTATTTATTTGAGAGAGAGAATGAGAGACAGAGAGCACGAGAGGGAAGAGGGTCAGAGGGAGAAGCAGACCCCCTGCTGAGCAGGGAGCCCGATGCCGGACTCGATCTCGGGACTCCAGGATCATGACCTGAGCCGAAGGCAGTCGCTTAACCAACTGAGCCACCCAGGTGGCCCGACAAGTTTAATTTTAACACAGGCTGGTGTGAGACCATCCAAGTAATGACTTAGGGTTTGCAAAAACGGATCAGAGTACGCATGGTATGAATAATTTTTCAGGAAAGTCAGGTTAAATGCTCACGTAAGAGTCTCCGTGATTGTAAAGAAGCAGTTACCATGTTGTTCTTAGTTGTATAGTACTCTATTTTAGCATAACAGTAATATTAAGATTTAGTTTAAGCTTTGGTAACCAAGTAGAACTCAAACTGTGGCATGTGGTTGCCCTGGGACCTTGGCTCAACATAGTACCGTGGACAGAGTTGGCCAGTGAATTATTTGGCACTTTCAAGAGGGATAGTGGAGACATAATAGAAAATACCGTTGTATGCTTAGATGACCGTGTCTGTTTTGTGTGGAACACTGATTGGTTCTTGGTCAGCCCATCTTAGGAAAGAATGTAATCAATATCTCAAGAGCCAGTTTAAATTTCTCCATGAAAGCCTTTTGAGCCCACCCTACACTATAGCAATTTCTTCTTCCTTTGAATGTCTGTAGCACTTAGTATCACATGTCTGACAGTTCTGATGGTTTTGTGTTTAACTGTTATCTATGATTTTCAGAGGATGAACCAGTCTTTCCCAACTGATGATAGGTTATGTGAGGGCAGGGGTTTTAGATTCATTTCTTTGCCTGCTAGCACCTAGCATATGCCTTGCAAATACAATTGAGTCCTATCATCATACACTCAATTTAACTTGTGAAATCAACTCTTTCAGCTCAGGGTAGAGCAAAAAAGAAATCCCTTGATTTAACCCTTTGCCATTCCCTGCTCAAAGTAGCCCTTGGACTCTGCTGCCCCGAGGGAAACGGCGTAATGCAAATAGACACCCAAGATGTGAATTCTTGGTTTTTGAGTTTTCAAGGACTCCCATCCCAGCTAAGGAATTTTCATGAGTGATTTTAAAATACACTTGATTTTTGCCTTAAAGGCAGACTTGAGAGCTTAACCCCAGAAATACAGGCTGACCTGCCCTGCAGTGGGTGCTCAGGATTTGTTGGTTGTTATAATGAGACTAGATAGAGAGGATGGCTGTAGAGCAAGATCCTGAAAGCCCTCGACAAGGACGTGTGGGGATCAAATGAAAGCAAGCATGTGAGAGAGTCCTTGGGAATTGATGGCTAAAGCTTATTTATTCAGGGCTTGTAAGGGAAGCTTGAATGTGTGTGACCCTAGGGGGAGTGGTGGGGAAGCTGCTGACCTCCTCCACTGAGAGCTATGGAATGGTGATGCTGTTGAACCTTGTGCCAGAACCAGAATTCTGCCGGCTTCTTGGGGGGTGATGAAGACTCAGCCCAGCAGTAATGGGCGCCAGGGCCAGCCCCCACCATTTCTTACCCTTTGTGTTTGTTAAATAAATGTGCAAACTAGGGCTGTAAGAGGTGAAGTGACCATGGTGCGTCGTTGGGCAAGTTGGTTCTCAGTCTACATCTTCCATGCTTCCTGGACTGTGCAGCATGTGGTTTCTCTTGTTGGGTTTGATTATGATCATGGTTAAGTGTACATCCTTCCTTCCATTCTGTAGTGACCATGTTTGGAAAGTACATCTCAGAGGAATCATGCCTTGTAGCCCTTTGGTAGCTGCCAAGCAGTAGATGAATACCAGTCTGGTTTCAGTATGTGGAGATCAGTGGGCAGATACCAGGATGGTGAGGGGCTGGGTGGGCAGTGACTTTGTGCAGAGGGTACCCGTGGAGGGTGGATTATGAAGTAACAGGGCGGAGTTAATGAGGAATACCAACTTCCTGGTTTCCAGATCTTCTCAGACCTCTGTGACTTTGGAAGTATCCCCCTACCCTTATCCCTGGCAGACTGGGTAATTTGCACTCTACCCAGGGCAGGGTTGATGATGTATTATTTTCCTGGTCCTTTGTTTGGCATTAATGTGCAATAGGAAAGCTGGGTCTGTTTGTGCAAAGCTGGGTCTGATTGTTCACGATGAAGCTGCCTAAGGTTGAAGATGCACGGACAAAGTGTGGAAGTAGTGTGTTCTAGCAGATTTTTGTTTGTTAAACTGGCACTTGGAATTGGAAACAGTGATCCCTTGGAACTAAATCAAGAGGCTAATTGTTAATTAGCCCTGAACTGGGACAGGTAGATTGGCTCTTCACCAGTGTGGGTCCCCTGTTAGCCTAATAACAGGGTGGAATGATCATCATCTCATCTGCTGCTGTCTGGCTTTTCTGTTTAGGTAAACAAGGCAAGACAGTTCCAAATCCGTTTATTCCAGAGTTGGTGGGCTGGTAGAACCACTTCTTTCATAGGCCACAGTGTAGCCTCAGACTCTCCCCACATCTGCCGCCTTCCCTCCCTCTCTCTGTCTCTCTCCCCCTCCCCCTCTCGGACCCCACTCCTCGCCCCTTCCACACAGGTGCTGGATTCCAATGTTGGATACTGCTATCCCTTCACCAATTCCCAAATTGGCAGAAAGACTTTAGAAAACTTTGAAGACTCTAAAACCAATGAACTGGCAAAGGGGGCTGTTCTGAATTAGGGGGAAGTGTCACTGAAGCGAGTGCAGGAGGCAAAAGCAAGTGACATGGAGCCATGACTGTCCGCCTGCATGTTTATTTGCTAACTGGCTACATATATTTTGCATGTCACACAATCCGGAGCCACTTCAGATACAGTATAAGAAAGCCTTTTAATGAAATATGCTTTCTAAGCCTGGAAGTATAGAAATAAAAATAAACTTTGGAATAATGTGAACGGGGCACATTGGTTAGTGATATGAAGAATAAATGGAGCGCAGAGTATGCCTCTTTCCCCGGGGCTGTGTTTGCTTTGTTTGGTGGTATCAATGTCACTGTAGTTTCTTCATTTTATCAAGGCTGTTGATTTGTACTGAGGCTAAGTGTGGGTGTGGGAGGAAGTGGACAAATGATAAACATTTCAGAGTCACTGGACTGTAGGTCTCCTGAGCCAAATAACCTCTTGTCTTTGCAGAATTCGTACCCTTCTCTTCAGGATATACTGCTGTTGGTCAGGTGGTCACGGTCTTCCGTGGTCCTGATAAAGCCGTATAATCTAAAGTTAGCAAGAGGATCCTCATCAAGGTGAACCACAGCCAGGGTGTGGGACGGTTGTTCCTGGTGTGACTGGACCACCTGACAGCAGTAGGCATTTGAAGTCCTGTTTCTCCTATTTGCTAAGGAGAGTAAGCGGTCCTTCCTGGGCCCTTTTCCCACAGACCCATCTGTCAGATGATGGCCTGACCCCCCTCCAACTGGCAGTGTAGGACTGTCTCTTGAGAACAAGGGTATTGTGAAGTGAAATGGAAGTGTTTAGAATTCTGCAAGGCTTTGGTGAGATTGGAGATGCAGGGTGTTGAAAACCAATTGACTAGGGCTTAAGGAATTCCGCTTTGCTGTGACACAGATAAACCTAAGAGTTTTCAAGCAAGGAAAAGCTTGAAGAGGCTCGGATGATCAGGTGGCTATGCGGAGACATCGTTCTAGGAAAATGGCACTTGCGCCTGAGGCCTCCTGGCTGCTTGTGAGACTTGCCAACTTAGAATAATACTCAGAAAAAGTTGAGAGCTGGCTTTAAGATCTGGGTGAGGAAGAAGTCTCACGTGAACCCACGAGTGCAAGAAAAGATGGGTTTGGACACTGTTGGGTCTTCTAGAGGCCCAAGGATAGAGGACCTGGAGAAGACGTGTACTGAATTAGATGGTCCGAAGCTCAAGGGAGGGCTTCAGGGGCAGCTGGAGAAGTGTTTCAGTGCTCAGGACATGCTAAAGCCGTATCAGGTACCATATGCGATCAGCCAGTTTTGAAAGAAAAGTATTTTCCAAATCTTATATTTAGAAAGGGTTCGGGGCTGCTACCAAGATTAAGTGAGGGTGTGGGCATGTGGAGGGACATCCTGGGGCCCCCGCTCAGGATGATCCCCGGAGGTGAGGCCTGCAAGATGAGGATCCCCCAAGTTCAGCAGCACCACCAGCCAGAAGCCATCTGAGGAGCTTTTTCACGGTCCTAGGGTAAGAAATTGATCTTTTGTAAGCTCATTTATTTCTGTGTGCACATTTATACATAAATGTGTATTTTATATTTCAACTTAAAGTAGGGATTTTTATCCTTACTTGAACATGAGGAACAAGTAAAAATTTGGAGGGGAATGTGCTCTGGACCTCTAGAGAGATCATAATCACCTTTTTTTGGGGGGGGTTCCTATAAAAGTTGTAAGTTCAGCAGATTCTCACTGAGCGTTTACTATGTATTAGGCACTCTTCTGGTGCTAGAGATATGGCAGCAAGCTAAATAAAGTCCCTGTTTAGTTCTGTTGGGGGAGACACAAAATAAAGAGGTGTATGATGTTAGATGGTAGTGAGTGATACAGAGGAAAAGAAAGTGGAGAAAGAGACTGCGGAGTGGTCGGCAGTAGGTCAGCCAGGGAAGAATTCACTGAAAAGGCAAAGCTGCAAGCCATGTCAGTACTGGGGGGAAAGAGTGTTTTTGGCCGCAGGAACACCCAGTGCAAAGGCCCTGGGGCAGGAGCATGCCTAGCAAATTTAGAAGAGCAGGGAAGCGTATGGCCTCCTTGGAGGCAAATTGTGTGGAGCCTTATAGGTCATTGAAAGACTTTGGCTTTTACTCCTGACTGCGATGGGAAGCCTTGCAGGGTTCTGAGAAGAGTATGACATGTTCTACCTTAGATTTTAAATGGTTTTCTCTAGCTGCTAGATTGAGCATAGATAAGGGTGAGGGCAAGGGTAGATGTAGTGCTATTAACTAGAAGGCCCCTGTAATGATAGGTAAGAGATGATGGTAGTTTGGACCAAGGTGGTAGCGGTGAAGAAAGAAGTGGTTGGATTCTGGGTATATTTGGAAAGTAGAGTCGACAGGATGAGGAGAGTGAGAGTAAAAAAGAACATCTTTGGGGTTTTGGGCCTGAGCAACTGGAAGGATGAAGTTGTCCTATGATGGTTTAGGACAGAGCCTAAGACGAAGGGATTTTGGGGGAGAGTGAAAGTTTGATTTTTAGACACGTTAGGCTTGAGATGTCTGGACATCCCAGTGGAGGTGCTGAGGAGGCAGTTGAATGAGAGTCTGAAGTTCAATGGGGGAGGTCTGGGCAGGAGATACAAATAGTGGAGTCCTGGACCTCTAGGTTGTATTTCCTAGAGGGGACTGAATGCCGAATGAGGTCGCGGAGGGAACAGGGGTAGAGACTGAGGGTAAGCTGTAGGGCACTCCCATGCGGAGGTTAGGGAGATGAAGGGCATGGCCAGTACGCGGGAGAACTAGGTGTGCTAACCTGGAAGCCACGTGATGAAGGCAGTGATCCATGAGTTGTATCAGTGACCTGAGAGCTGATGACTGGAATAGCAATGTGGGGACCATGAGCAGCCAGAGCAGAGCACTCGTGGAGGGCTGGGAGCAATGCCTGGTTGGATGGATTGGTGAGAAGAGAAGAGGAATTGGACACAAAAAATAGGAAGTCTGAGTTTTGCTGAAGAGGGGAGCAGAGCAAGAGCTAGAGGAGAAAATGGGGTCAAGAGGGAACTTTATAATTTTTTTTTTTTTAAAGATTTTATTTATTTATTTGACAGAGAGAGAGAG